TCTTCTTTGTGCTATTTGTTCCACCTGTCTCATATTTCTTTCTCTCCTTTCTTGCCATGTTTTATGTCGAGTATTTTAATAATCCCACCTTATCCCTCTGTCGGCTGGGAATGTGTGCGCTGTTTCTATTCTGTCGGTGATCGCCCCGGACAGCGCCACGTCCACCTTTAACATTAATGTTCACTGATAGGTTCGTTTATACCTGACCCTCCTCCTAGAAAACGCAATGACCCTGGAGCACTGTAACATGACTTTTCCACTCCTGCTTTATCTGCCATTGTTGCCATATAAATTTCAATTTATGTGTTTTCACACAGTTTCATGAGGCTGCAATACTCGTTATTTCTCTGTATGGCCCATGCGCATCTGCCCTTCTTTCCTACTTGCATCTCTGACCTACGTTTCCCTTTGACTTGAAGTTGATCCATTACAATTTCGTTTAGCATAGGTTTGTTGTTTGTTATTTGTATCATTTATTTGTATAAATTATATTTATTTTCCCTTCAGTAATCCAGAGGGAAAAAACACACAGACTCAGAGTGCTGTTTAAATTTCTCTCACTCGGCAAGTCAACACAGAAGACTTCTGCGACCAGATGTCTGGGGTTTTCCCCACCAGCAAGCGAGCAGTCAGCTCCACAGCAGACACCAGCTGGGCGTCCCCACGTTCCGTCCCAACACTAGCTATCTGAGATGTGTCAGAGCCCACAGGTTGAGGGCTCAGTCCCCAAGACCGCTTCAGACGCCAGTGCCAAGTCCAAGCCTCTGCAATTTCTGATTGACTGGCTGTAAATTGGGGTTCCCACAACCCCCTCCTCAGGTTTGATTAGTTTGCTAGAGCAGTGCCCAGAACTCGAGGACACACCTACTTATATTGGCCAGTTGATTGTAGAGGATACTATGAAGGACACGGATGAAGATTTGCACAGGAAAAGGTGTGGGGGAGAGGCACGGAGCTTTCGTGCCCTCCCTGGTTGTGCCACCCTGAAGGAACCTCCAGGTGTTCAGCTACCCCAAATCCCTCTGAACCCTGTCCTTTTGGGTCTGAATGGAGACTTCATTACATAGGCATGGTTGATTAAGTCATTGGCCATTGGTGATCAACTTAACCTTCAGCCCCTCTCCCCTCCGTGGAGGCTGAGGGCTGTGGCTGGATGTCCCAACACCTAATCCTGCCTTAGTCTCTCCTGGGACCAGCCCCAGTCCTGAAGCTACCTAGGAGCCGCCAGTCACTGGTCAACTCATCAGCACACACAAAGACATCACTTTGGAGAGTCTAAGGATTTTGGGAGCTGTATGTCAGGAAATGGGGTTGAAGACCAAATACGCATTTCACAATATCACAAGTAGTAAAGGATACTGTGTCTGGGTAGCAGTTGTTTCCTTGCAGCACGTGGAAAATATAATTCCACTGCTTTCCATCTTCCATTGTTGTTCATGAGACGTCAGCTGTCAGTCTACCTGCGATGCCCTTTTAAAACTGTCTCCTTTTCACTGACTTTCTGCATTTCCAGCATTTGTTTTATGTGGCTTTGTTTTTATTTTTCCAGCTAGTGGATCATGGGGATTATCGAATTTATGGTTTGATGTCTTTTATCAGTTCTGGAAAATTCTCAGCCACTGCCTTTGTATCTCCTCTCCTTCTGGTGCTCCAAATTATACATTTGTTTGTTCGTCTCATGAGTTCCCTTTATATCTTTTCTTCTATATTCTCCATCTTTTAGTCTCTGTTCTAAACTCTGGATAGTTTCTTCTGACCTATCACTTAGTTCCAGTTCACTAATGCTTTCTTAATTGCATCAAATCTGCTCTTAAATCTACGCAGTTAGTTCTTAATTTCTGTCATTTATTTGGCTGTTTAAAATGTCTTTTCAATTTTACTTATTTATTTATTTTTAATCGTAATAGATTTAGGGGGCACGAGTTGAATTCTGTTACATGTGTATATGGTATAATGGTAAAATATCTTTTAAAAAAAATAATTTCCATTCCTGATTTTTTTCATCCTAGCCCTTTTCCCCCAATTTTTTAAAATTGCGGTGAAGTACACATATTATGACATAAAATGCAGCATCTGAACAATTTTTAGGTGTGCAGTTGCGTGGTATTCGAGTACATTCACACTGTTGTGTAGCCGTCACCACCGGCTACCCTCAGGACTCTGAACCTTGCACAGTTGACATTCTGTACCCATCAGACACTGACTCCTCACTACTCCAGACTCCTCACTACCCCCTTCTCTCAACCCTAGAAACCAACGTTCTACTTTCCATCTCTGTGAGTGAGACTCTTGCAGGCACCTCATGAATGGAATCGTATGACATGTAGCTCTTTGTGACTGACTCTGAGCGTGATGTCTGCGAGGTCCATCGTGTTGCAGCAGGCGTCAGTGTTTTCTTACCATACTCTTTGAAGCTGAGCGATGTTCCGTTGCATATATGTGCCACATCTTGTTTACCATTTATCCTCAATGAACACTTGGGTCGCTTCCAGTGTTCAGATACTGTGAATAATGATGCCATGAACATGAGTGTGCACATACAAAGCTCAAGACCCTGCTTTCAGCTGGGCGTGGCGGCACATGCCTGTCGTCCCGGCTTCTCGGGAGGCTGAGGCTGGGAGATCCCTTGAGCCCAAGGGTTCATGACCAGCCTAGGTAACATAATGAGACCCCATATGAAAAAAAAAACCACGCTGCTTTCAGTTATTTTGGTTATATACCCAGAAGCAGAATTGTTGGATCATATGATAATCCTATTTTTAATGTTCTGAGAAACCACCATACTGTTTCTCACAATGGCTGCACCATTTTGCCTTCCGACCCCCAATGCACAGGTACTCCAATTTCCTCACATCCTCACCAGCGCTTGTTACTTTTGGGTTTTTTTTTTTTTTTTACGGTAGATACGCTGACAGATGTGGGGTGGTACCTCACTGTGGTCTTCACTTGCATCTCCCCGATGATCAGTGATGTTGGCATCTTTTCAGGTGCTTATTGGCCACTTATGTGTCTTCTTTGCAGAAACGCCTGTTCACATCCTTTGCCCATTTCCAAATCAGGTTTTTATTGTTGATTCTTAGGAGTTCTGTCTATATTTTGGATATTAATTCCTTATCATATATATGATTTACAAATATTTTCTCCCATTCTGGGGGTTTTACTTGTTAATAGTGGTTTTTGATGCACAAAAGTTTTTCATTTTCATGAAATCCAGTTTGAGTAGTTTTCTTTCGTCGCCTGTGTCTTTGGTGTCATATCCAGGGCTCTGCCCCACCCTCCCGAGGCCTCTGGCTCGACTGGGGCCCGGGAGCAGTAGCCAGAGTGCCCCGAGGCCAGGCCCACACGGGGGCTCCCCACCCCCACAGCGGCTGCCCAGGGCTGGCACTCTGCGGGCGTCGGGCACAGCACACAGGCCAGAGCCTGTGCCCTGAGCACATGCCCGTCTGGAAGGGGGAGGAGCAGGGCCAAGTGGTCCCTTATCGGGGACCAGGGGCTGTCAGGCCACCCTGGGAATGCCCTGCCTAAGGCTGGCTCACCCTCGGGGGACGTCTGGTCGGGGAGGCTGGGAGGCCGCGGCCCACTGCCTGCCCACACCCCCGTCAGGCCCTCTCTGGCTTCTGCCTCGCAGGTGAACAATAACGGGGTCATCTCCTTCCTGAAGGAGGTCTCTCAGTTCACCCCGGCAGCCTTCCCCATCGCCAAGGACCGCTGCGTGGTGGCAGCCTTCTGGGCAGACGTGGACAACCGGCGCGCAGGCGACGTCTACTACCGGGAGACCACCGACCTGGCCACGCTGCACCGGGCCACGGAGGACGTCAGGCACTATTTTCCTGAGCTCCCCGGCTTCTCCGCCACCTGGGTTTTCATCGCCACCTGGTACCGAGTGACCTTCTTTGGAGGCAGCTCCACCTCCCCTGTGAGTCCAGGCACTGGTCCTGGGGGGGGAGGACGTCTGGTTCGGGCCCCCCTTGACGAGGCAGGTCAGGCACAATCGCTGGTCCACGCCTGAGAGGGGAAGCTGGGCTCAGGGACAAGGTCACTCAGCTAAGATCGCAGAGCCGGGGCGGAAGAGAAAGGCGCCTCCACCCTCCCCGCTCTCCTGGAAACACCCAGTGCCCCGAAGCCGCAGTTCGCACGTTAGGGAGAGGCCAGGATTTCCATTCGGAACGGCCCAGTACTCAGAGGGTTAAACCGGAACAATACTCTCTTTCATCCTTCATTCCCTGATAATGCCCAACGTAAAGAAACATTACCTTAGAGGTTGACGGCTTTGCCAGCTTGGTGAGTTCTGGTGGGCTGACACTCCCTAACGAGGACGGCAGCTGCCCACTCGGGTGGCCGATGTGCTTAACTGAGCACCTCCTAGGCCAGGCCTGCCCCGGGTTCTGGGTGACCGCTGTACGAGACGCCCCGGAGAAGGGATGGAGCAGATCAGCCACTGTCAGAGCTGTTTGCTCACGCGTTTAATGAACATTCTTAAGGGCACCTTCTAGGCGGCAGGCAAGTGTTCTGGGCGCTGGGAGGAGGCTCTGGGCAAGGCAGACAGGACACGTCTGGCTCACGCGCACACGCGTGGCGCTGGCGCAGGTGCCGGGCCCCAGGCAGTGCTCTGAAGCCCAGCCCAGCGGCACTGCAAGAGCAGGTTCCTCAACAGAAAGTGGACAGCTCCGTGTCACTCATCTCCTCATTGCGCCCCAAGATGTGAACCTTGCCAGCTCCCAATGTCCCCCCCACATTGGCCCTTACTGACTGTCGTCCTCCCGCCAGACTTTCCCACCACCCCCCTTCGTGGCACTGCACCGTCACGGTCTTCAGTGTGCTAGTGTTGCGTTTGCCTCCCTAAGCGGGCACGCGGTTCCGGGCGGGAATGTTCACGCACGTAAGCGCGGGACCGTGCGGGCTCCCGTCTTTTCCAATGACTGCAAATTAGCCCAGTGCCAGACAGTACCTGAAACTGGTTTCACCTGGACCGCGGACTGGACAGTGCAGTGCAGGTGCCCGCGGGGGACGCCATGCCGCCGGGGCTGCCGCGGTCGCCACCGTGCCCGGCACGCGTCTCCAGAAGGGAGCTGCGGCCGCAGAGTCCCCGTCTCCCTCTCAAACGTGCGCACGCTGGCACTCGCCCGGCCACAGCGAGAAGAGCCCGGTTCCTTGCGCCCAGCTGTTCTTTCCTTCCCTGCCGACTACATGGGCAACACAGGGAAGGCTGTGCATGTTTAACTTCACGCATCTTGATTTCTAGCGATGCCGATTTGTCCTGGTGGCATTGCCCAGTGGGATGCCACTGTGGAGAGTCCGTGCACGGCGGTGGCCGGCCGCTCAGTCCAGCTTTCGGTCTTTTTCTAATTGACCCGTAGAAGTTCTTCTTGAATTAAGGATATCAATAGTTTTATCTGCCATCTATGTTATAAATACGATTTTCACTTTGCTGTTTGCTGTTCCGTTTGAGCTTATGGCATTTTTTTAATATTCAGAAATTTTCAGAGTCAAATGTGTAAATCTCCCTTTGGTTTTGTTGTTGACACGCGAAGGTCCTGCCTCTTTCCCGAGCTACACGCATTTGCCTGTTTTCTGCTGGGACTTCTGTGGTCTCACATTAAAACCGTACTTGGTTTTGGATTTATTTTCATGTGTGGCTAAGGCAGGCTCTTATCTAATTCTTTTTCAGAGAGTTTTCTGTTTGTCCCAAGATCATTTCATAAACAATCCCAGTCCTTCGCCCCAAGCTGATACGGCGTGTCTTATGCACACTGCCCACCAGTATTTCCATGGAATAGAATTCTGTGAAAACTTTAAGACCTAATTACTAAAAACGCTTTTCCTTGGTTCCTCTTTTTGTTTTTACGTTTTTGTTTATTTCACACAGAAGATGTTGTGGATTTGGCAGAATGAGCCCTAACCCGCGGTACCCTGGAGGCCTGAGCCCTGGAGGGCAGGGACAGTGTCTGCTCCTCCGTGGGCCCCACTTGCTCCCAGGCACCCATGTGGGGCGGGGGTGGGGAGAGGGCCTGTGCCGGGTCACAGGCCCTGGGATGCAGAGGACAAGGCCATCAGGGTCCTGCCTTGGCTGACTGTCCAGTGGGGGAGACAGACATTGAGCAAGTCAGGGCTAGTGGACGATGGCACTGCAGGGACGGTGGATGGGGCGGGGACTTGTGGGGTGGGGCGGGACCCTGTTCAGCCCCCTCTCCTCGGCAGGTCAACACGTTCCAGACTGTGCTCATCACCGACGGCAAGTTCTCCTTCACCATCTTCAACTATGAGTCCATCGCGTGGACCACGGGCACACATGCCAGCAGTGGGGGCAACGCCACTGGCCTGGGGGGCATCGCAGCCCAGGTGGGTGGGAGCAGGGCTGGTGTTCAGTGTTCAGGGTCCCTGCTTCCCGCTGCCAGGATTGTCATGAGCTGATGAGGGAGGCGGGGGTCGTGGTAGGCAGACCCCCTCCCGGTACTACTCGGAGACCAGCCTGAGGTGTCTACGGTGAACGTACACACCTGGGGCCTCCTGCCGCCCAGAATCACAAAAATCCTGGGGCCCAAAGGCACCTCTGTCCCCCAACCCACCGGGCCTAGCGCCGCAGTCCCTGTTGAACAGCTGCAGCAGCAGCAGAAATGCCCTCGGATCCGTGCGCGCTGACCGAGGGGCTGTGGCTGGTCCCAGGTGTCGGGGGAGTGAGACCGGGCGTGGCTGCTGGGCCGGTGCCTTCGGGCCGTGCACACCCCCGCCCACCGCCGGGCCACCCACCTTTGCCGGGGTGCGCTTTCCCCAGCCGGGGGGAGGCCCGAAGCCGGCGAACGCGGGAGGGGTGGGGGTCAGGGTCAGGGTCAGGGTCTTCTCGCCCCAGCCACTGCGCTTGGGCCCGGGACCCGGCTGGGAGGCGGCTGACCCGGGCAGGGGCATGGCGGGGCGGGGAGCCCCAGCATCGCGAAGCCGGACGCCCGCCTCACTGCCCCCCCAGGCCGGCTTCAACGCGGGCGACGGGCGGCGCTACTTCAGCATCCCCGGCTCCCGCACGGCGGACGTGGCCGAGGTGGAGACCACCACCAACGTGGGCGTGCCCGGGCGCTGGGCGTTCAGAATCGATGATGCCCAGGTGCGCGTGGGGGGCTGCGGCCATACAAGTAAGAGGACGGCGCGGGGAGGGCTGAGGAGGGGTCGGCGGCAAAGGGGCGAGGCAGGAGAGGGGGCGGGACGCTGACGCGAGCGCAGGGGCTGCGGACGCCAGGCTCGGCCCTTCAGCCAGGGGCGCGCGGACCCGAGCCAGTCCCCGCTGGTCCCTGAGCCTCAGTTTCCCCCTGGAGAAGCCCTCGTGCCTCTGCTCGGGGCAGGGTGGCGGAGGATCCTTCAATGCGGCGGCCGGGGTGCAGAATTCCGGGTCCTCGAGGGAGGAGGGACCGGGGACGCGGAGCGCGGGAGGGGCGCCCGCGAGGCCGGTTCTCACCTGCCCGGGCCTTGCTGCTTGGAGGGGTTTGATGTGTCTGACAAACCCGAGCATCGCGTCCAGGGGGCAGTTCCAGGGGTCCCCCCGGCCCAGACCGCGCGAGCAGAGGGTGGGCCCAGGGCCTCGCGTGTGGCCGTGGGAACAGCCCGCCCGGCCGCGGACCCGTGGATCCCGGCTGCGGCCCTGCCCCGCGCGGCCCCGGGCGTCACGGAGCCTTCGGCCGCGTCGCAGCTCGCGCGCGGGGCGGGCACCGCGCGATCCCCCAGCCGCGGCCGGGCTGGAGACGGCGGCTTCTCCCACCCGAGTCCGCGGCGAGCACCGCGCAGGAGCCGCGGGCGGAAGGCGCGCGCAGCACGGGGCTGGGGAAGGTAGACGTGCGCGCGCACCACGGGGCTGGGGAACGGAGACGTGCGCGCGCAGCACGGGGGCTGGGGAACGGAGACGTGCGCGCGCAGCACGGGGGCTGGGGAGCGGAGACGTGCGCGCGCACCACGGGGGCTGGGGAGCGGAGACGTGCGCGCGCAGCACGCGGGAGCGCGGCGGGAGCGCGCACACCAAGCGCTCACCGGAGCGTGAGCCCGCGATGACGGCCTGGGGAGCCCCGGCCTGCCTCGCACTGGGGCGCGAACCAGCCCCAGCTTGAGTCTGAGCTTAGGGAGGACGGGCTCAGGGGGCGGCCACCCCCAGCGCGAGAGCGAGCCGAGCACCTGCGCCGAGCCCATCTGCGGCCCCACGCCCCGCCCCCGAGCTCGTGCGGGCGGTTGAGGGCGGGACAGCGCTGTGCGCCGCTCTGGAGCAGTGCGCGGTGAGGTCAGGTCGTCGCCCGCGGCCAAGGGCTCGGGTTGGGATTGAGGAGTAAGGGGCGCAGGTGTGGCCGGGCCCGTGCTCCCCGGAGGGGCCGCAGGCTGCGAGTCTGCGGAGAGGACCCCCAGAAGAGGGTCCAGCAGTCCCTCGGGGACCCAGTCCCAACGTGGAGAGCTTCTCCTCACCGGCCAGGTCTGGGGGGAGCAGCGCGAGTTGGCGCCGGCAGCCGCTGCAAGCCAGGGCTCCGGTTCCGGGTCGAGTAAACGTGGGCTTGCTCGGGAAGGCGGGTCGTTCACACCTGAGAGGCGCGCGGCCGTGTCTGGAAGTCCAACTCCCGGGACGCGGGACGCCTGCACAGCCCCTGCAGCTGCCGCGCAGCCAGACCCGCACCAGGCTGAGCTGCTAGGAGGATGGGCGTGCGCGTGAGGAGCAGAAACGGTGCAGAGGCATCCGCAGCCTTCATGGTGTGCCGGATCACCCGGTCCTTCCCGGAGTCTCCCCAGGGGCCTCCTCGAAACAGGCAGAGTCTGCAGATGCTTCTGTCACCTGCCCATCTGTGCTTCCTAATCGCAGGTTTCAGGGCCTGGCTCTTCCAGGCATGGGAGCCCCATGAGCCAAGCCCTTCCTGGAGGGACTGGGCATGGGGGTCCAGCCCCAGACACAGGGACCCCAGGAGGCCCTCCCCGAGTGGCAGGCCGTGCTTCGAGGAGCACTGACTCTGAAAGCCGAGTCCCAGCCTCTCAATTTACACGCAAGGAAACCTGGAGGGGAGGCTGAGCATGCCGACTTTCTAGAACTGTCCGTGGCAGTGTTGGGAAGGAGTAGGGGAGCAGGAAGGCGCTGTGGGTGAGAGTGGTTCTGGGGGAGTCTGCCTCCGCAGGGAGCCACAGTCAGAGCTCAGGACTGTGGGCAGGAGATCCAGGCAGACAACACAGCCACAGTGCTGGGTGCCCTGCACAGACCTGGGAAGCGCGGCCGTGGAGGCCACCGGGGCTGCGGTCACTGCGTTGCCCAGAGGTCGATCCTTTGGGTCAGGGGAGGGAAGGGGACGTGGCCCTGTGCACGGCTCTCCTGCCCACGTCTCAGAGGCGGCACGTGAGGCTGTAGCCGCTCCCTGTGTCCGCAGCCTCCGTGTGCCTGGCCCTGCGCCCGTGCCTCAACGGCGGCAAGTGCATCGACGACTGCGTCACAGGCAACCCTTCCTACACCTGCTCCTGCCTTTCGGGCTTCACAGGGCGGAGGTGCCACCTGGGTGAGTGGCTGGCCCAGGACAGGGCTGCACTGGGCTCAGGAGGCACACCGAAGGCACAGCCAGTGGCCCGGAGAGCCGAGGGCACCAGGTCCAGGGTCTCTGTCCCCACAGTGTGGGTGGCATGCTTAGGGGACTGCGGGGGACCAAACGCCTCGGCTCCCTGACGGCGAGTGGGTGGGTGGGTGCTGCTGGCCCAGCTGCCCTGTCTGAGCCTAGCTCAGAGCCGGCTCATCTGTCCCCACCCAGCCCCGCTCCCTCCACTGAGGCCCCAGCCCACCCCGTGTTTCAGATGTGAACGAGTGTGCTTCCCACCCGTGCCAGAACGGTGGGACCTGCACCCACGGCGTCAACAGCTTCAGCTGCCGGTGCCCGGCCGGCTTCGGGGGACCTGCCTGTGAGACAGGTAAGAGGAAGCCACCCAGCCCCAGTGGCTCTGCTGGCTGCAGGAGTGAGGCCTAGGACAGCCCGTGCCAGCAAGGTCTGTGTGCTGCAGGGAGGCTGGCACCCGACGTGGGCAGCCCGACGCCCCGCCACTCCCTCCACCTGCCTGCGCTCCCCGAGCCCAGCTGCTCCAGGGTGGGCTGGGCTCACCTCCCCCCAGAGCCTGCTCTTCTGCAGGGGCTGCCACCAGGCTCGGCTTCCACTTGCCTGTCCTTGTACCAGCACCTCTTGAGGCCCTCACCCTTGCCCTTCACGTGCCTGGTGAAGAAAGGGGGACCCCCCCCGCTCCAGCCCCCAGTCTCACTACAGGGCTCCACTCGGGAAGCTTTAGAATTCCTTAAAATCCAAGCACCTGATTGGCCCAGCCAGACATACACCCCAATGCACCCGTTGCTCTGCGACAATCATTTGTAAAAACGTGTAACAGATTCTTTAGATCAAATATGCTCAAGTAGCAACTGTATCACTATTTCCATCTAGAAAAAAATTTCTTTCAGAGATATA